ATCTGACATGATAATACAAACAGCTCTGCTTCCCTTTATCTGGACACAGCACATCTTTTTAGGACCCCTTTAAAAAAAAAGGGATCTTGCTGTACTATAGTGAAGCTTGACCAAAGCAGAGTAGAGTAGTATTATTGCTTCCCTTGATCTGGACACAACACATCTTTTTAGGACCCCTTTAAAAAAAAACTCCACTAAACAACACTCAACATGATAACCTTTCCTCCAGCCTTCTTATCTTTCCCACTGTTTTTTTCCCCTGCACTTTTTCAGCTGTACAGCGTGCTTTGAGTCATGAGGATAACCGAAATAGGGCACCATGTTCCAAGAGTGGATCGCGCCCATAAATTTACACAAAGGCAAGATGCTCTATCAGCAGGACTTGCCATCCGGTTTGGGGCTGCAACGTGAACTGGAAAGAGAAACCGAATTCTGATTTTCTTTCCTCCCCAGAGTTTTGTGACTTTTGAGGAGGTGGCTGTGCATTTCACCGAGGAAGAATGGTTTTTGCTGGATCCAGACCACAAAACTTTGCACAGGGAAGTCATGGAGGAGAATTATAAGAATGTAGTCTCTCTTGGTAAGACTTGGCTGGCGGCTTTTAAAAGCAGAAAAGGCTGTTATTTGTCTATATCATTGCTCCATATATGATATTATTCAGATATTTTCATTTAACATGACTTGTGACTTGTTTACGAATGGATTATCCATCTGTTTTTTTCTCTTTGTGTGAAATGACGTTATTTCTGATAACAAGTTTATAGAATTTTAAGACTCTCTTTTTATATTGTAACATTGGCCAAGAAAAGGTTGCAGAGTCCCTAATAATTGTTCAGATAAAAATCACCCCCGACTTACGGCAACCCTATGAAGGAGCGATCTCCAAAAATGCCCTGTCCTCAACATCCCAGCTCAGCTCTTGCAAACTGAAATCTGGGGGGTTCCTTTAAGGAATCAGTCCATCTTGTATTTGTTCCTCCTCTCTTCCTGCTGCCTTCCCCCTTTCCCAGCATTGTGGTCTTTTCCAGACTCCTGCTTTCTCATGACGTGAGGACGGCCTCAATTTCGGCTTGTTTTGCCTTCAGAGAGAGTTCAGGCTTGATTTGATTCAGGACCTTCATTTTTTTCTGGCAATCTTAGGGTATCCACAAAGCCCTCCTCTAGCATCATATTTCAAACACACCAATTAGGGTAATACTTAAATCCATGCCGGCTTTTAGGAAATAGAGAGACAGCAAGGCCAGAGGACGGGAAATCATTCATTTTGAGGACTCCAAATCCGCAGAGCTTCACCGTTTAGTCCCGCTGTGGCAGGGATTATGGGATTTGTAATCCCAAAAAGGGAATGTTTTCTTAACGTTGCTTCTGCACAAGGGAGGTGCCTGATCTTCCCCACCACCAGCACCGTGGCGGAGGAAGATACTTAACCTCCAGGATGGCTTCTGCCTCTTTCTTTGTTGATTTAAACACCAACTTTCAGTGATTCCATATACTGTACTTGAAAGAGCTTCCAGTGTCGAGCAACAGAAAAGCAACCCCTGCACCAGTCATTCGTGGTCATGATGACTGACAAGGTAGAAAAAGAAACGGATGAAACGTGCCATGCGTTGCTTTTGCAAAATGTTATACTGTATTCGCATTAGCTATCCCTTCCCAAACTGCATAGAGTACACAAAGATCCACCCGCATATTGACAATATTTGGGTGGGACCATCCATTGTGATATTATTATTATTATTATTATTATTATTATTATTATTATTATTATTATTATTATTATTATTATTATTATTATTATTATTATCATCATCATTATAATAAAAAGATAAAACAAAATACAACTGAAATAGGTACTTTAAAAATTGCCATCAGGACCCACAGTTGATATTATTTCAATTAAAAGCCTTCAGGAACAGGAAGGTTTTGACCTGGTGCCAAAATGTTTGCCAGACATTCCATAGTCTGGGGGCAGCTTATAATTTATATGCTGCCCACTCTACCCAAAGGTCTCTGGGCGGCTCAGAACAATTAAAATACAATTAAAATATAATAAAAAGATAAAACAAAATACAACTGAAATAGGTACTTTAAAAATTGCCATCAGGACCCACAGTTGATATTATTTCAATTAAAAGCCTTCAGGAACAGGAAGGTTTTGACCTGGTGCCAAAATGTTTGCCAGACATTCCATAGTCTGGGGGCAGCTTATAATTTATATGCTGCCCACTCTACCCAAAGATCTCTGGGCGGCTTACAACAATTAAAATACAATTAAAAATAAAACAATTAAAATACAATCAAAGTATAAATGAAATATAACAAAAATCCAGTCTGTAAGTCTAGCGTTGCATCCTGTGTCGTGCAAGGGTGTTCATGAGAGGGGAATTCCCAGTTCTTATACCCCATTGTAATTCTTTGACTCCTGCAGAAAGCCTCTCTTTTGGATCATAGGATTCTCTGGAAATGGGTCAGTATGGGGTGGAGCAAGATGGAGTGTGATGCAATTAAATACAAAATTGTGTCCAAAATGGCTAGAATCCCATTCGTGTTTATGTAAGGTCTGCATAATTTGGCAGGAGTAATTTGGCTAACTGACAAGATGCCAAGGTGCATCTCATTTGTGTATTTAGGAGCGCCCGATGAAGCACATGACCAAGATGTGTTCTGGTGCCTTGTCAGTTAGCTGCAATTAGCCAAGATGTGTTATGCAATAGGAACACCAGTATGATTTTGGTTCATGCATGTTTTGTGGAAATGTTCATAAAGAGATGTTTGTAATGTGCCATCATGTCACTTTAAATGTGCAACCATAAGAGTTTCTGAGGTATGTGAGATATTCAAGGTGTAGTTCACCACTGTCACCCACCAGTGAGTTTCCATAGCTGAGAAAGGGTTTGTGCGTGAGTCTCTGGAGCCCTAGTTCAACATCGTATCCATTGTACTACACTGACGTTTGTGAGGAAGATACACAAAATTGCTTTATACTGGAAGAAGGCAAAATTGCTTTAAAATGCAGGTATTAAGATAACTGGACACAACAATGCGTACAAATTTTCATTTTAATACTGATACTGATAGTAACAACAACAACCATATGCAGTCAAGTCAATTCTTTTCAAGGTTTTCTAGGCAGAAAATATTCAGAGGTGGTTGGCCCTTCCCTTCTTCTGGGTGTGTGTGTGTTATTTCTGAGACTGTGCAGCTGGCCCAAGGCCACCCAGGTTGGCTCTTCTCCCAGAAGAAGTGGTGGAATTCTCCCAGTGGGTGAATTGAACTCCCAGCCTCTGGCTCCTCAGCCAGATACCTAAACCACTGAGCTGTCCAGACAGTATAATACAATTAATACCTCTCTCATAATACAGGGTGATCTTGGGAGAGTGTATCCCTTCAAAATGGCCAGTCATAGTTTTATCCATTACAGTACTTCTTTTTTTTAATATGGAAAATCTCTTCATTTCTCTTTAACTGACCGGAAGCCTGAACCAGCTTATGGAAGGTCAACAGATGCAACTGTGTGTCGTTAAAACTTCTATTTTTATTATTTTATATACTGCTCTGTTAGTGCAGGGCACTAATCTGGGTGGTGTCCAATGCAATGGACAATAAAAACAGCAAAAAGCAAGAATTTAAGGCATGAATAGAGGAAATAAAAAGTAAATACGACCTAAAACATCATTCAAGGATTCCCCCAGCCTGGCCCGGCTTGACCGGAATAGTGTTTGGATAGTAGCAACTGTTCACTTCCTCCCCCTTCATTCTGTAGTGTTTGTGGACAGCAAACCCCAGCTGTAGCACCTCCCACAAGGAGACTACAACTCTCAGAAATCACAAAGAATTTCCCAGGCAGAATCCTGGGCGTTGTAGCTTGCAAACACAAATCTGCAGATCTCTACCGCTGGCGCAGCAGGAGAGCAGGCTGGAGGGTGGTGGGTGAAAGAAACACCACTACCTCACAGATCTCCAGAGGGCTGGAGCAGTCTTACGGGAGACGTTGCACGCTTTCTTATCTAGATGCTACCCATGTAACTGTTGCAGGTGAAGACGTCTGGCAAAAAGGAACAGTCCGTGCATCTCCCCCTGACAATGTATTGTTCACGTGCCCTTGATTCCCCCCCTTTCAAAAAAGGGGCACAGTCCTGTTGCAGAGCCTCCTGGGAAATGTAGTTCCCTGGGTGTGGGAGCTTTTGAGGCCACCCTCCGTTCTGCTGTTGTGCGGAGGGGAGGTGTAGAGATTTACAACTCCCAGAATTCTTCCTGGAGAGCCTGTGGACGCTTCTGGGAGTTGTAGTCCAGTCCTGGGAGATGCTTCTCTGGGGAGGTGTGGGAGCGGTAGCGTGCAAAGACAGAAACACCCCACCCCATCTCCTACTCACAGGGCTGCAGGTTGGAATGATCTTCCAAAGGAGAAGAAGAGCACAGCCCTAGTTCAGAGGAGGAGAACCGGGTGGCAAAGATTACGATGGCCATTCCCCCTTGCTAGCTTTTCCTTCATTCTTTGAGGGACGGAGTTCCTCCTTTTGCGTCACATCTTTCTTTATTGTTGCAGGTGACAGGAGAAAGAGTCATCCGAAGGATGAAAAGTGGAGGAGAAGACGAGAAACCGAACAAAAGTGGAAGAGGAAAACTGTGGTTTGTGAAGGCATAGGTGTCTGCGGATCCCCAATACTACAAGCGTGTAAGGACAGAAAAACACTCTTGAAGGGGAAGAAAATCATACATACAGCACTGAGCACAAGCCAACCCATCGAAGTGCATGGAACAAAAAATACATGTCAGTGCTCAGAGTGTGGTAAGGTATTTGCGAGGAAGTTACACCTTATACTCCATGAAAAATGCCGTGTTGGAGGGAAACCCTTTAAATGCCCCAAATGTTGGAAGGGATTCAGTCAACGCAGTCACCTGACTGTCCACCAAAGAACCCACACTGGAGACAAACCCTACCATTGCGCCATGTGCGGAAGGCTTTTCTGTCAGCGTGGCGGGCTTGCTAAGCCCCAGAGGACCCAGGCAGGAGAGAAACCGTATCCGTGCTCGGCGTGTGGGAGGAGCTTCAGCGACAGCAGCCAGCTTACTGTCCATCGAAGGACTCACACGGGAGAGAAGCCGTATAATTGCTCTGTGTGCGGGAAACGCTTCAGGCACAGCACAACTCTTGTTGTCCATCAAAGAACCCACACAAGAGAGAAACCCTACAAATGCTCAGACTGTGGGGGAACCTTTAGATCTGGTCAACATCTCACAGCACACCACAGAACCCACACAGAAAAGAAACCATATTTATTGTGTGGGAAAAGCTTCCAACGACGGAGTACCATCGATAACCACGGAAAAATCCACACAGGGGAGGAGCCGTATCAATGCTCTGAGGGTGGAAAGAATTTCAGGTCTAGCCCACCCCTTGTTTGCAGAGACAGACCCTATAAATGCTCTGAGTGTGGAAAGAGCTTTAGACAGAGGAGGACCCTTGCTGCCCATCAAAACACCCACACAGGGGAAAAACCATACAGATGCTCAACCTGTGGAAAGAGTTTCAGCCTCAAGGCCAACCTTGGCGTCCATCAAAGAACCCACACAGGAGCGAAACCCTATCAATGCTCCGAGTGTGGGGGAAAATTCAGACACGCAGGTATTCTTGTGGCTCATGAAAGAACCCACACAGGAGAGAAACCCTACAAACGCTCCGAGTGTGGGGGGAAATTCAGACATGCGGGTATTCTTGTGGCTCATGAAAGAACCCACACAGGAGAGAAACCATATAAATGCTCTGATTGCGGAAAGAATTTCAGTCGTAACGCTAACCTGGCCATCCATCAAAGAACCCACGTAGCAGATGAAGCTTGTAAAAGCTCTGAACCTGGGGAAAGCTTCAGGGGTATGATTACTGTTCCTAGCCTCCACCCAGGAGGAAAACCCTATCAGTGCTCAGTTTGTGGAAAGAATTTCAGTCGTCGTGCTAACCTGGCCGTCCATCAAAGAACACACACAGGAGACAAACCCTTCAAATGCTCCGAATGCGAAAAGAGTTTTAGACACAGGAGCACCTTTGATGTCCACCAACGGACTCACACAGGGGAGAAACCGTACAAATGTCCAGAGTGCCAGAAGACCTTCAGGCAGAGGAGTAATCTTATTGCCCATCAAAGCACCCACACAGGAGAAAAACCGTATAAATGCTCTGTGTGCGGAAAAAGCTTTAGTCTCAAGCCTAACCTGGCTGTTCATCAAAGAATCCACACCGGGGAGAAGCCCTATAAATGCTCTGTGTGTGGAAAGACCTTCGCCTACATGGGCAACCTGGCGGCTCACGAAAAAACCCACACAGAGGAAAAACCCTATAAATGCTCTAAGTGTGGAAAGAGTTTCAAACTGAGCTATAAGCTTGCGGTCCATGACAGGATTCATACAGGAGAGAAACCCCATGAATGTTCAGAGTGCGGAAAGAGTTTCACTCATAAATGTAACCTAACATCCCATAAAAGGACTCACACAAGAGAAAAGCCACAGGACAGTATAGAGCAGAAACTGTTAGTTCTCCGTAGAGAAGATAGCACAAGATAAAAAGCCTTCAAGTGCTCACAATCTAGAAAAGGCTTCAGATTTTTTTATCTACCATGAAAGAAGGGTACAAAGTGTGATCGTTTGTTTGTCCATTGTCTCTTGATATTCTTTGTTGCTCCATATATAAGACTTGGAAAAAAGTCAGTTTCTGCCCGTGTCAGTGTCCAGTCCCAAATGAACATTTCTTCTCCATTACTTGTTTACTATGACCCCCTTATCTTTGGGGTCAGTAACCACTGATTCATTTATCCACAGATTGAAAATATTTTATAATGTATAAAAGAACTGTCTACTAGGGAGTCAGAGACCATGCTATGTATAGTGTTTGCTATTAAGAACCTAAAAAGAGCCCTGCTGGATCAGGCTAAGGGCCCATGTAGTCCAGCTTCCTGGATCTCACAGGGGGGCCCCACCAGATGCCTCTGGGAGCCCACAAAACAATGAGATATAACTGTGTCCTGATCCCTCTCCCCTGAATCTGGCATTTGGAGGCACCTTCCTTCGAAGCGTGGAGATCATACACCCCCATCATCATAGCTTGTCACCTGCGATGGACTTTTACTCCAGGATCTGTCCAATCCCCTTTTTAAAGCATCTAAGCCAGATGCCATCACTACATCTTGTAGCAAGGAGTTCCACAGACCAACCACCTGCTGGATCAATAAATATTTTCTTTCGTCTGTTCTCACTCTCCCAATGGTCAATTGGAGTGGATGTCCCCTGGTTCTAGTTTTGTATGAGAGGAGGAAAATGCTTCCCTCTATCCACTTTAGGTAAAGGTAAAGGTTCCCCTTGACAATTTTTGTCCAGTGGTGTTCGACTCTAGGGGGTGGTGCTCACCCCGGTTTTCAAGCCATAGAGCCAGCGTTTTGTCCGAAGACAATCTTCCGTGGTCACATGGCCAGTGCGACTTAGACACGGAACGCTGTTACCTTCCCACCGAGGTGGTCCCTATTTATCTACTTGCATTTGCATGCTTTAGAGCCGCTAGGTTGGCGGGAGCTGGGACAAGCGGCGGGAGCTCACTCCGTCGCGTGGATTCGATCTTATGACTGCTTGGTCTTCTGACCCTGCAGCGCAGGCTTCTGCAGTTTAGCCCACAGCGCCACCACATCCCCTAGCCACTTTATCCCTGCATAATTTTATACGGCTCAGTCATATTCCCCCCTCAGGCACCTTTCTTTTCGACTAAAGAGCCTCAAATGCTGTAGCCTCTCCTCATAAGGGGAGGTGCCCCAGCCCAGTCATCATTTGATTCGCTCTCTTCTCCACCTTTTCAAGTTCCACGATGTCTTTTTTTGAGGTGCGGCAACCAGAACTATATTAAAATAGCATTTACTATAATCTTCCTTGGAACTGATTCCCCCACAGATACAGAGGCTCCTACTCTGTATTGACGTTGCCCTCGGAACCCAAGTTTGGGAACCACTGATGCAGAGTCACATATTTTAATACCTGTTTAAAATTTTGGTTACACAGAAATCTAATTATCCAGGACAACAATATGTTTAGGTAAAAGTTGGTTTGTTTTTTTTTTAAAGGAGGAGCAATTTTTTTAAAATGCCAATTTTGGAGACATCCTTATAGGTTGGCTGAAGATCTTAGAGCAGTGGTTCCCAACCTTGAGTCCCCAGATATTCTTGGACTACAACTCCCAGAAGCCTTCACCGCCAGCTCTTCTGGTTCTGGTTTTTGGGAGTTGTAGTCCAAGAACATCTGGGGACCCAAGACATCACCCTCTGAGTCTTAGATGGCTCTGAGATCTCCTATCATCATCATCATCATCAGTCATCAATTCCAACTTATTTTTCAGGATTTTTTAGGTCGAGAGTACTCGGAAGTGATTTACCTTTCCTTTCCTTCTGGGGGTATTTCTTCTGGGAATGTGCAGCTTGCCCGAGGCTACCCAGGCTGGCTCTTCTCCCAGGAGGCTCAGTAGGGCATCGAACTCCCAACCTCTGATACCTAAACCACTGAGCTATCTAGTCACCTGAGATGTCCTCTAGGTATTCGGTTTTATATTTTAGCAGGCTCAGCCTCCTGATGTCAGGTCAGAGCCCCAATGCTACTTTAACCCCCCCCCTTCCCTCAGCCATCCCACACAGCCTGCTGACCTATGAACTCTGAGGGAACAGGGGGGGAAAGCCGGTTCTGTTCTTCCAAGACTTCCCGCCAGCATCCAGGAATTAATCATCTGGTTCACATTAATTGCCTATGGGGACCACATGGTTCTCATTGGAGACAACTGCCCCCTACAACTTAAATTTTGGGGCAACATCCTGGGGCAAATTTTGGAGCAACATCCTCGACCGTTTGATGGCAAAATCTTCAAATTCTTGAGTTTACAGAAAGAACCAATTTGAAGAGACCCTTGTCCAGCAGGCCGAGGCAAAGAGGCAGTCACGAAAGCAACAAAACCAGGGAGCTGGACAGGGGACAGATTGGATTTGTCTTCAGTGTGGAAGGGATTGTCACTCTCGAATTGGCCTCTTCAGCCACACTAGATGCTGTTCCAAGTCCTCCCTACAGAGCACGCTACCATAGTCTCTCGAGACTGAAGGATGCCTAACCTACGTAACAGAAAGAACTTATTTTTCACAGTGCTGTGCGACCATTGAACTCACTTCATTTCCCGTTTTATCCTGATTGTAGTTCCCCGTTTGTTGTTGCTGTTCATAGCTGTTTGTCAGTCTCTTTTTTTGTTTTTTAACAAATTGCATTCTTTATAATAAAAGTGTTTCTAAAAGTTATTAAGGCTTCTCACCTCTATGGTTGGATTGTTTGGGTGATGGCTGTACAACTGTCCATGAATGTTCAGGGCAGGAGCCCAATTGTCAAAAGAATCTGGAGACTAATATGCTGTTTTGAGCAATAATCGTTCCTACCGTCAGTCTTTCTGTCTTCCACATACACAGCATTAGTTGCAGTCAAAAGATCCAGGAGCATTGCTTTCAAAAATTGCTGAAAGTCCGATTTATACTTATTTATGCTGAGTTAGGATAATCTGGCTGAGGATAGTTAGGTAATGCTTAGTTTAGGGTGGGTACCTTAAAATAAAGGGGACGTGGTGGCGCTGCGGGCTAAACCGCAGAAGCCTGTGCTGCAGGGTCAGATGACCAAGCAGTCGTAAGATCGAATCCACGCGACGGAGTGAGCTCCTGTTGCTTGTCCCAGCTCCTGCCAACCTAGTGGTTCGAAAGCATGCAAATGCAAGTAGATAAATAGGGACCACCTCGGTGGGAAGGTAACAGCGTTCCGTGTCTAAGTCGCACTGGCCATGTGACCACGGAAGATTGTCTTCGGACAAAATGCTGGCTCTTGGAAATCGGGATGAGCACCGCCCCCTAGAGTCGAACAGGACTGGACCAAAAATTGTCAAGGGGAACCTGAACCTTTACCTTACCTTAAAATAATGTTGGTTTATGGGAGTTAGATACTGTAACACTATATGTTATCTGCCGCCAAGCTGGAACCAACTTATAGCAACTCTATTAGAGTTTTCAAGGTAAGTGAGATATTTAGAGAGGTTTGTTAGCTTCTGTGAGTTTCAGTGTCAGTGCAAGGATTTGAACCTGGGTCTCCTGAGTCCCTGACTCAATCCGTTACAATACACTGAGTATTGGAGAGATAATACTTTCCCTGTTCTTCTGATTGGCAAGTAGCAAAATAATCAGTCTCTGCTTTTATCAAATGCAAAAGAAAGGGATGTGTTAGTAGAGGGTGTGATTCACAGCCTGCTGTGTTTGCTAGCTTCTGACAGGCACAGGAGATGGGGACTCAGACACTCCCTACAGAACAGGGATGTAGGTATGTGACCAATATGTGTCAACCTATCTAAGAAGCGAGGGGAATCTCTTAGCGACCTAGTAGTAAATGGGTGCTCACCATGACAATCCCCCGATCAGGAAAATCCTCCAATAGGTTGTGAGACTGGTCTATATCAACAATTGAGGAGTGGGTCTTTTGTAAAGTTAATGGCCCTTAATTGCACATTTCTCTCCCAGCTGTTCTGAGGATGACAGGTAAGCTCAGAGGGAAGAGAGGATCCTGGCAGATGATGTCAGAGCCATGGCACTTCAGAAAGCTCCAGGCTCTGACTCAATGAGCCCTGGTTCCAGTAAATCCACACTAATCCGGCTCTCTTTCTCTCTAAAGTTGGAAAAAAGGAGGATTACAGTACTACAGTTTGGCAGAAAAAGTAAGCCACCGGACAACATCAAGGGCAGAGAGGGGAAAACAAATCATAAAGTACACAGATTCTCCAGTGGGGAAGTAACTCAAATCTCACCATCAGGCCAGACCTGAGGACTGAGAAACAGAGGTGTATAGTGGTGCCTCGCTTAACGAGTGCCTCGCTCAATGATGAATTCGCATAACGATGGCCTTTGCTGGAAATTTTGCCGCCTCACCTAACGATGTTTCCTATGGGGGATTTTTACATAATGATGTTTGGGACCTTGCTTCACTTAACGATGACAGTTTTAGGTCCCCTGTTTTGCTTAATGTTTTTTTTGACAGCCCTGTTTTCGCTATTTTAAAAATATTCTAAAATGTTTAAAAGATGTTTAAAATGCTTGGAATCGTTAGTGCACCTAGTAAAACCTTCGTTAAAGTAATTTGGCTTCGTTCTGAGTCTTGAATTTTTGGTAATTTTTTTTTCACCATTGAAATGTATTGAATAGGCTCCTATTGGAATGGATTAAATGGTTTTCAATGCATTCCTATGGGACATGGTGTTTCACTTAACGATGTTTTCACATAACGATGTTTTTAATGGAACCAATTAACATCGTTATGCGAGGCACCACTGTATATCAATAATCCACTTCTAGCAAAGTGATTTTACCTTGCAAGCCTTGGACCTGTGATGATGATGATGGGGGAGGGGGATATATTGCTTGAATTCTCTGCAAAATAAAAAAAAATCTACAAACTCTCCCGCTTTTTAGAGCTCTTTGAAGGAGGAGAAAGGTCTCCAGAGTCCATCACAAGGTTAGAACAACAGAGTCTCAATTCTTAAAGAGTCCAGCCAGTGATTAGCTATTGCAACACCCACATCCTCCCTCCCGGGAACTCCAGTCCTGAAAAAAGGGTCCTGGCATTCTTCCACCCCCCTACCCCCCCC